ACAGGGGTAGAGGACACAGACTTGATATTCAGAACCTCGCTTGGTTTGTAGTCCTGGTAAGTCGGTGGCGAAGCCGTGTAATACTTATTTCCCGAGACCAGAGACGAAGCCCGGTTGGTTACGACAATCCTCCCTTCAACACGCTCTTTGCTGAAGCTTCCAGAATTGTACTGCCGTGACCAGTTAGAAGTTGATGCTTTCTATCGGCAAGAGTTGCTTACCAGAGTTCCATGGACCCAGGTGTCCGCTACACCTCCTGTGAGCACAGCGTTGCCTCCCAGACGAACAGTCACTCCGGAACTCTGAACATTCTCCAAGACAATTGCGTTCCCTGCACCACCCGAGTCATTGGAGGTGATGAAGGTGTCTAGGTTTGAGGCGCTGGAGTCGATCACGGTCAAGGAGCCCGACGTCTCACTCGCATTAATACCTATGCTCCCCTGTTCGAAACGACATCCTAAGAAGATAATATCGGTGGCCCCTGCAACTACCCCGATAGTTGTCCCAGTGAAAGTGAGATTTTTGAAAACCCATTGCTGCCCGCTCAGCTTCATCCCGATATTACCACCACTGAACGATAGGTCATTCTGCGTGCTGTCAGGACCACATGCTGATAGTCAGTTTGCAAGTAGGTCTTACCACAATGATATTACTATTATAATCATACTGCGTCGTCAACCCGGTATGTTTGCTGCCCGTGGGCATATGGAACGCGACATTGGTGAGTTGTGTTGCTTGGCTAACAGTCCAGTCAAGGAGGCTCAGGGACTTAGCCGAATCGACCCCGGTCGAGTCTAGGACAATATTCTTAATGCCAATGTAGAAGTTGTTTGTCCCCTCGTGATTAGGATCCTTGGCGTAAACGATGTGGTCCAGAGAATACCCAGAAGCGGCTTTCAAAACGGGTGGGTTTGTCGGGTCACCGAGCAACACAGTTCCTGTGTAGAGTTGGAGAGAGGTTTGCAAAAGATATGTACCTCCCGGAAGATACACTACAGCTGGTTGTCCCGTCGTGCCCATAGATTTGGAATTCCGAGAAGGCCCGTTTGATGCCCCCGCTGCCAGTACACTTCACCCTCAGCAATTGTCCTCGTCCAAAATACATTCCTGGTAAGTGGTGCATACCTTCAATGGCCCTCTGTATGGCAGGTGCAGCATCTTGTATTCCTGTGCTGTCGGCGTTATAATCACTCACTACGTTCCGAAAAACCTTGTAGCTGTCTTTATAGTCCGAACTCAAAAACGATGATTGGTCTTTATGCTCGGTCTTCTCATACCAATACCCAGATGAGCCATTAATAGCCGAGCAAGTAGCCGAACTGGCAATGGGCGCATGAGTCACGGGTGCAGTGTTAAGATGTCTCCAAGGTTCCGCTGTGTCGTTTTTTGTAGGAAACGGTATTCCCCTATCATAGTGAACCGTTAAAAGCTTGAGAGGGCACAGCTGGGGGCACACCGAACTCACTTCGGATGAGGGACCCAGTCTAGCGGCGGGAAGAAAGATATAGCATTTCCCACAGGTTTCATCAAGTTATGGATCAAGTCCTCAATCCCGACTGCCCAGGCGTGTGTAATCAGAAGCCATAAGGAAAATATTCGAATTACAGAGGAAAACGCCATTATGCAATTCTTCTTCACCAAAAAAATAAAAAAACCATGTAAAAAATTAATCAAGAAAAGAGGATAAGAAAGAAGGGCGAGAAGTGAAATAGACCATCCACCCAGGTCAGCAAATGCAACTCCTGGCCGTGTATATCCCCGTGTGAGCAATTAAGAGTCTCACGAAAAGCAGGAAGAGACTCATGTCAGGCAATCCAGAGCTTCAACTGCTTTTTAGTATTTATGTATTCTATTTTTTACCGTCAGATTTGCCGTGCATACTTGAGTTCGGTGATCAACGTGACAGTGAGACACACTTATCACCATCGCGACGCACGCCATGAATGGAATTCTTCGACCTGCAGAGACTGGGTCCCGATTCGTAAGTCGGTGCCTTTTGCCGAATAACTGACTCAACTCTATCGAACTCCAATAAATTCCGCAAGATTCGAGTTAGTTTATTCGCCTTCTGTCGCGTCGTACATGTCAATGCCACATATGTACAATCGGGGTAGGCGCGGCAGCACCCAACCTCCGAGTCACATCAAACTCTAGAATTGATCGAATAAGGATTAATCAAGCCAGGGAGATATTAAATCCATAGTATGGCTTTTGGATGTGAGATCCATACTCCAGACCAGGGTTTGCCATCGTGATTCCTTGCCGCCGCCAAACATACCGGAAGATGGGGATATGTAAACAAGGGAGACCGCAATTGCAAAGCCGGATGACGAAGATGCTCCACGTGCGACATACTTGCTTTTGTTTCTCTCTCTTCTCTTTTTTTTTATCTTTCGATTTCTTCCATGTCTTCAGCTCAGAATGCCCTGATTATTGACACGGTGTTTGGATTGATATCTAGTTCTTGTTACAACAAGCAAGACCGTCGCGGCTCCAGCGGCTCTACTGAAGGCCAAGACAACAGAACAAACTTCATCCCTGTCTTGACAACCCTCGATATTGTCAAAGTGGCTGAACCCCTGACGAAGGCAAGGATCAAAGGAAATAATTAAATAAGATAAATAATCCAGTTGATAAAAAAAAGAAAGACAGAAAGAAAGAAGTTGAAATTCTTCCCGACGTGCGATTCCAGTGCTGAGGAAAGTTCTGTGATCTAGAACCTTGCCGGCTTCTGAGCATATAGTTCGCGTTTCGAAGCAGTAATGGTGCATGCTTGCATTTTATTGTCTAGATCGGGATTAGGTTCTATTGGTACTGCTCGGCGATGTCTATCAGACTCTCCCGGAACTCAACCCATGCGTGGAACCACCCCGATACCTTGGGACTCGAGTAATGTGGCCTGAGCACGAAGATCAAGCAAGGTACCTCGAGATATATCGACGGACGTTGAAGGTGTGTTAAGGTTATCAGGGGAGTAATCCCTCCCATTCATCCTGCATAGAGATTCACACCCAATTAGGGCAGCAAGAGGATCGCCAATGTCTATATGTCAAACAATTAAGTACTGGGTAACCCTCTGACGAGGCAACATATGGCGTAGTAAAAACTGCACGACAATAATGTTGTATTCAAGGGTCCCAAGGGCGGGGCAACAAGTGGTTGATCCTTGCCCACTAGAATTAGTATACTCCGTACTCCGTACATCAAAGTGCTATAGACTGATCGTAAGCGAAGCCATCGCATTGTTAGCGAGGATTGCACTTCTTTATCCCCTCCCCTTTTTCTTTCAACATAATTTCCAAAGGAAAATGCCGCGAAAGCTGTGGTATGCTAAGAGCTTGTAAATGCAATGCTGATGAGAGACCACCCCTATCTAAATCATCACAATGATCTGATGACCGACCTGGAGTACTTTTGACTCGGCGGGTGGGCTCTGGGCTCTGGACTCAGTGCAAAAAGTGGAGGCGGCATCGAGACCGCCTCCACTGAGGTACGTAAAGGTGGTTTGTACCTGAAAATCCTGAGCCATCGACGGGTGAGTGCTACGTATCTTAAAAAGCTCGCTAGTGACTGGGTATGAGGGTACACGCAGAGTTCCATCAGGAACCTGTACTGGGCACTTTCATCCCGTGTGGTCCACTAGGCTTGAAAGCTAGATCTTGCCCGAATAATCTTGAACGGTCAACGATAGGATCAGTGAAGTGGGTAGGAAAAGTGTCCTTTAATAAAATATCCGACCTTTGGATGCGCTAAATTTGCTGGTCCACCCCTGAATCCTGATCACAACAGCGATAAACTCAAAGAGACAGCTTTGGAACGATGCGTAAAACGCTTCGGCGGGACTGATAGCCTTAGCGCGTATCTTGCCACACTTGTTTGTTTCATTCGGGCAAAACTTCAATCAGACCAGACGCAATCAAACATGCTGAGACTCTGCCTTCTCAAAAGGTTAGTAGTACATGTGTATGTATATGCCATAAACCATGACCAGTGGAAGGAATACTGTAGTATTTGAAACCCGCCATCAGTGTGAAAAGCTGTTAACTACTCGGGTGGGTTTATAGGTCTCTCGTGAAAGGATCCAACCGAGTGTGATTGTTGGTCGGGCGAATCAGAAGGGCATTTAAGTGGGAACCGTCGCATTGACGGGAAGCTAAGCGGACGGAGACACAGCCACCACGAAGAGTTCCCGACTCGAGTCGGTTGGTATTTAAGGATGCGAAACTTTTTAGAAACTATGTGCCAGAGAGGTGAGAAAGGCATGCACTGGCAGATAAAAGGGTCAGTAAAATAGTAGTAGAAGTGCAATGTCGTTGAAGGTAAGGGTGTTGACAACTGAAGGAGGAAGCGGAGGACTTGCACAGTATACTAGTTAACTAGTTAACTACCAGTAGTTATCGTGGCAATGCCGTCATGTGGGTTGGATACCTGAGGCAAGGATGGGGTCGCCTTTCCACCCGCTTTGGCTCGATCAATTAATTCTCTCCGTCTCTCTCTCCCCACTCCATTCATTCATTCGTTCCCTTATCCTTTCCTTCTCGACCATCATTGACCTCCAATTTCCCTCTGCCCTTTATCGTCGCATTCTTTCTTTTTGCCTTTTCTTTTCTTTTGAAGCCTAAATAGATTGTCCGCACGAGATATCTTTCATCTGTGAATTCCAACGTTGATACATGCATTTACTAGCTTTTTAGTCTGGCTGTGTCCCCTCCAGCTTATCAAACATACAATCGTACTGCTAGTACTGGACGAGTTCTCTCACGGGACTCAAGCGCTCACCTCCCCAAGTTCTCTCCCTCCCCCTCCCCCCTCCCCCAACAATTTCAGGAGATCAACAGCAATGTTTCGGCCAATGCTGTGAACTCTCATTTCTACCATTGACTGCGTGTGTCGCTGCCACCTGCCTAGTGGTTGCGATACTTATCGTTACTTGATTCAACGTCTTCGTCATTCATTTTTAAGACGGGTTGTCTATCGCTAGGCAACTCCGCCCCTCCGCCATGCTTCTCAAACCCGCGACTCCCCTCACGATCCTGCTCCTGATCGCTTTCGTTCTCTTGCTTTTATCCGTTATCTCCACCCCTATCGTCAAAGGGATCCCGCTGGCGACGTTCGATACCGTCGACTATGGGGTTTTCGGCTACTGTAAAGCTGGTCACTGCACCAATATTCATCTTGGCTACACTAATGGTGCGTCTGGTGGCCCGCCGGCACGACTTAACCTTCCAGTGCTAACCTATGGACAGAGGACCTCTCGGACACCGGCGATGACTTCAACCTCCCTTCTAACACCCGAAGATCGCTTTCGTCCATTCTAATCGTTCATCCGGTCGCCGCATTTCTTACCCTAATCTGCCTTTGTATGGCTGCCGCAGCTCATTTCCATGGTCCGTCGCATTCGCCCCGCTACCTACTCGTCTTGTTGATCCTGCTACTTCCGACGCTTCTCGTCTCCCTCCTTGCGTTCCTCGTGGATATCCTGCTCTTCGTCCCTCATTTAGGATGGGGTGGCTGGATTGTACTCGGCGCGACTATCCTCCTCGTCAGCTGTGGTGTGGTTACTTGTGCGATGCGCCGAACCCTCGTAAGTCGCAAGGCGCGAAAGAGGCGCATCGCTGAAAACGCCGAGATGAGTGGCGAAAACTTCTACAATCGCCAGAATGCCGCCGCAGCAGCCGCAGGACTAAACGATCCGAAGCCGCTCAATGCGGAGACAAAGGAGCCTTTCGTGACTGGATCACCTCCCGGATCTGACACTGGTCCCACGTTTGCGACATTCCGGACGACAACGCACGAGAGTGATGACGACCGCATACCGCTGAACTCGCGAACACCACCCAACGATTTTCCATTACCAGACCAACCGTATCCCACTCAGATGCGTGAGAACGGGCCGCCATACAACCCCTCCCGAGACGAATTCGGAAACCCGCTTCCACCATCTGGTCCCTACGGGCCCGGCGCTCGCATGCGACCTGGTCCGGGTGATCCCCGGTTGCGCAATCAATACTCCGATGGTAGTATGGGCTCACGAAGGGGACCACCCCCACCGGGTTTCGCCCCGCGTGGACGGGGTGGTTATCCGGCTCGCGGAGGCTACGGCCGTGGGGGTCCTTATGGTGGACCCAGAGCCCCTCCCCCCGGTGGTCGAGGTAGTCCCATGGGCACGATGCGAGGAGGACGAGGCGCATATCGAGGACCGCCACCGTTTGCTTATGGGTCCAATCCTGGGCCGCGACCGATGCCGCCACCAGAGGAGGAGAGATACGACTACGATGTTCCGCCCAGCTCCATGCGTCAGCCGTCTCCTGAACCAATTGGAATGGCCGTGTCGCCACCGGATGGCAGCCCGGTAGGTCAGGCGATTGAGATGACACCGCAGCCCAGGCGAACAGGCTCGGCGGAGCCGGTGTCTCAGGAGGTCTTGCTAGACCAGCAACCACATGCCCTGTCGGCAGATGGCCAGCCCGAACCTGTCAGCCCTTCGAGCCTCTATAGCCGGACAGCGTAAGACAAAAATGAGCTTTTGATCCGTACTATCTCGTATTCCTAGCTAACCGCGAACAGATCATATGTTCCTCCTCGCGCTGCCTGGGAGCAGGCTGAGCGTCGCCCCGGATATTCACCCTCACCCGTCCATGCCTACCGGACGGCGGAGCCTACTCACACCCCGCACCACGCTCGTTCTGAGTCAGCAGATTACTTCGAAGATGCCGATCCTCGTTTTGCTAATCGTAATGAGCATGCCGTGGGCAACCCACGGCTGCCCTCTGTGTTGACGCCGGGTAGTTCTGGTGAGCCGAAACTGACGGAAGATTTGGCTGAAGGACCCAGCTCACCCACTACTAGCGATATAAGCCATTTTACATCAATCTCAGAGCGGCCTATCAACCCGCGCTGGCAGCCGCCTCCACTTCCGGCCCAACAGAGGCAGAACGTCTTGCTGGAGAACAACCCCGACTTTGATTTGCGAGCGGGTATGCGTCGAGGTGGTGCTGCTGGTGGGGTCGGAGGTCGCATGCCACCCATGTCGATACCCCGAGAAGCCTCACGATACCCTATACCCTGAACATAATCACTAGCGTCATATTACTTGCTTGAGTTTGGCATTCATTTACGTGGTCAGTACTATCGTTCTGCAGGTCTACAGCACAGCTGGCACGGGAGTTTTGGCGTTCATCAGTGATGGGCTCCTTTGGGCCTTCCATCCTATCAGTTCCTTTCTCTTTGCCACCTTTTTCTTTCAATCTCTTTGACAGCATTGCACATAAAAACAGCGTGGTATCGCAATGTTTACCGTGATCTGGAGTCACAGATATTCAGCGAAGCGCGCATGGTGGTCCCATGTACAGAGTTACGATAAGGCCCCATGTATCGGGGGATGCTTGTATCATACTGTTGTGATAGGGGAGCCTGGTTTCGCTCACGATCTTTTACCTTCTCAACATATCATTTTCTTTTCTACTATCGGACAGGCTCCATGGATGATAATGCATTATAGGAAGTATTCCAGTTTTATGATTTTCTTCGTACACATAGGGAATACCTAGTGATTCTCATAAGCTCTGTTTGATAGCCGATGAATAGGAATTCCATTGATCTATTCTCAAACCCTTGTTCGAATAGGCAGCTTAAAAACTCATCTTCTACCCTCGTAGTTACAAGCCTACGACAGCCAGTATGAAAGAATATGCACATAGATTACGAAGAGTATACCAACAATGCAAACCACCGGGGTATTCAACCAAAATGCCAAAACGAACACACGAACACACGAACACACAACCAAGCCCAAGGACCAATGTATAATACAAACAAATTCCCCCACACACAATCACCGCTTCGCACTACCCTCCAACTCATTCACCCTCGACGTATCACTCATCTCCACCCGCGCACTCTCCCCCGGCAACTCCGCAAACTGCTGTCCCACGGGCGGCTGATACGCAGGAACAGGACTCATCGGATGATTCTCATACATGGAAGGTAGAGGCGCCTTGGCCACCTCTGCCCCCATGTAACCCCCGGCATACGGCATCGCATCGGACCCCCCAATCGGCGTCCCCGGCTGCACATATCCCGCTCCGGGTCCCGATCCCGACGCAGACCCGAAGCCCTGGCCGGGGTTCACTCCAGATCTGTCCCGCCGCCGCCGCCCAAGCCAAAACGCTCCTCCCACGACCGCTATCCCGGCTACCACGCCGATCACGATCCCCGCGACCGCTCCCCCGGATATCCCCGACGACGAGCCGGGTGGGTCACCGGGTGACGAGGTCGCACTCGCCGAGGCAGTAGCAGTGGTAGTGGCACTACCCCCCGTGGCAGTAGACGTCTCCGTCGACGTAGAACTAGAAGAAGAAGTAGAAGTAGAAGAAGAACTAGGGACAGCAGTGGTCGACGGCCCATCATTCCCGCCATAATTCACCATAAACGAGCGCAAATCCGTCGACGCCTTCTTGCCCCACCGCGACGGCGGCGTGAACCCGCTGTAGGAACCCGAGCAGTTGTCGTTGGACCAGATGTAGAACGAGTAGGGGCTATTATTGGGCTCGAAGACGAATTCCTTGCCTTCTGCTTGGTCGATCTGCGTGCAGGGCGCCGGCGACGTGCTGCGCTCCATGAAGGGGGTGTTGGAGGCGTTGCGCCAGGTGAAGGTCCATGCTTGCGTTGTTGGCGTGGTGGTTAGGGTTAGGAGGAGGGTGGTGAGGAGGGGGAGGGATTTCATTTTTCTCTTTTTTCTTTCTCTCTTTATCTTTTTATTCTGTTGATTTCCCTGGTCGATTTGAATTGTGGGGTTTCTTTTTTTTTCTGGATTATTTTTGGGGCTATTCTCTGGGACTGTTGGTGATGTGTTATGCTTTGCTGGTTTGAAGGTTGATTGATAGATCGAGTATAGAAGCGTGGAAGTATGGAAGTCCATGAAGAGAGGAAGAGGAAATGAGAGAAGGAGAGCAGAGGCTGCTGCAGAGCAATCAAACTTTTTTATTACGAGCTATCCTCAAGTCGTTTTCAGCATTAAACCCATTCCTAGATGGACGTGCGAGATCGTATTCAGGTCGATAATTACCTTTTCTGGATAGTTGGATCTGCAGGCCATTGCATCCTACGTTACGCTTGTACGCTCGACTTCTGCTCGTTCCACCCTTACCATTCACTCATTATGACATATAGACCCGGCGAAGCATTAGACTAGTCTTGTCATGTTCCCATGGGACGTGGATACAACATTGAGGAATCAGCGGCAAGGTGGCATGTGAACTGGTGGGAATGGGACTCCGTATCAGATTGTCGAGCGAAGTTACTATGACCAAATATCTCGGGTGGGGATGGAGTCGATCGGCGGGTTTGTTACGATGCCATTGGCGAGTCGCCGGAGAATACGAGGTGACCAGACTCTCCCTCTTAAAATTAACTCGGCAATCCAGCAATCATCTTCCACCTCTGGCATTGAATGTGGATCTCGCCGTCCTTCAGGAGCAAGGTACGAATCAAAAGGGTCTCCGGATCGACGTGCCAGTTGCCTCAGCCTCTTGAGGTTGCAGTGACTTCGTAATGACAGGGGCAGGTCTGGCTGAGTTTAATTGCATGTTGCGTGTACTCTTTTTATTTTATTTTTGGCATGTCAACTGGAGATGAAATGTGAGATTATCCTAACGCCGAATTCCACGACTACATACGGAGCGCTTGAGAGTATACAACACTTGGGGTAACACAGACCGGAATAGAGACCAACCGGTAGAGGGAGAGGGTTGCTCGGTCGCCTAATAGCCGGTCCTATTCGCCAACCTCTTTGACGCCCATGCCCTCACGGACGACCACCTCTTTCTTTTTCAATGAAGCCTTGACGGGATTCCGTTCGAGGAACAGCTCTTCCAGCTCTTCGATAGTGCGACCCTTGGTTTCCGGAAGGGTAAAGAACATGAAGATGTATTCAAGGAAATGCAAGACCACTGCCCGGGTTAGCCAGTCTTATTAGCAGCATATTGGAGCGGATACTCACGGAAGATAATATACATCCGCCAACCAATGTTGTCCATCCCCGTTGGGGTAGCGTACATATTGATGAAGTTGGCGCCACCGTACACCACGTTCTGGAATGCCATCCCCTTGGCTCGGACGCGGCTGGGGAGAATCTCTGCGGGATAAAGCGACTGCAGTGGGGTCCAGCTGAAGGAGAAGACGATGCCATAGAGAAAAATACAAGCGATAAATCCATAACCCATGCTGGTAGTGAGGCTGCCTGATTCGTAAGAGGAGATAACATTGATGGGGATATAGATTAACCCCGTGATAAAGGTGCCGTATAGGAACAGAGTACGGCGGCCCCAGCGGTCGACGAAGCAGCTGCCACAGATACCACCAATAAAGGAGAATACCGTGTTAAGAGCATTAAGAAGCAGCTGCTGGGATGAGCCAGTGATTCCAGCGTTCTCGAGCATGACTGGCATGAAGTACCTGCTTGGTTTAGCACTGCCTGTCTTGCCAAGATCTGGAGTACTCACGTAATGACTGATCCGCCAATAAATTGCGAAAAGACACAAACGAGGAAGAGGAGCCAAAGGCGATATAACATGTCACGGGATGAGAACAAGACTTTGTAGTCCCACCATCGCCGGCCCCCTGTCTCTACCTCGAAGCGAATACCTTCCTCGATTTCACGGCATTCATGGGCAACAAGCGCAGATTCTGGGTTACCATTGCCATGATATTTTATCAGCATCTGGCGGGCTTCTTCGGGTCGATTGTTGGCAAAGAGCCACCGAGGACTCTCGGGCATGAAAAACACCACCACCAAGACGATGACCGAAGGAGCAGCCTGGATGACAACTGGGAGTCTCCATGACCAGTTGGTATCCATGAACCCGGTTCCATAAGCAATCCACGTGCAGGCTGTGATGAAACCGTCAGCGATACATATTATATGATGATTATGAGGTCGTACCTAATGCCCCTATATAATATCCCACGACGTTATACAACCCTCCGAAAATTCCACGCCACTGGGGAAGAGCAATCTCCACCAGATAGATCGGCGCTGATGTGTTCGATACACTGATGCCCATTCCGATCAAAAAACGACCACCGATGAACTGGGCAACCTTGGGGGCGGAGGCTTCCAGTATTGTTCCCACAATGATGATCAGTGAGCCGGTGAACATGCCAAAGCGCCGACCGAAGGTATCTGCAGCGGGTGCAGCAATCACAGCGCCCGCCAGATTGCCTATAGCGTAAATGGAAAAGAGTATACCAGTGCCACTACCTTGCATGCGGGTGCCGAAGTGCTCATGAAAAGTGGGCATAGCATTGATGGAGGACATCAGAGTACCGTCAAATCCGTTCATACAACAGTCTATAATGTCAGCAATCGAACGGAGAGCTGTGGTAGAGAGGTATAGAGAATCCCTTACTTAGGGTAGTTAGAGCAACAAGACCATACAGACGGACCATCGCCCATGACCAGGGCGACATGCGCTCCTTAGTGAGAGCATCGTTGAGCCCAACGGACAGAACCTGCTGCCGTTCGATGTTATAGTTGGAGCTTGCATCATCAACTGCCTCCCGGTTTTCCACCGAGGGCTTGCTTTCAAGAACGGATCCAGTGCCCATGATAACAGATAAAAGAGAGGTTGATAAGGCCTTGCTGGGGAATCTGGTTCATCCCCACGGGGTAGTGATCGGTATATAAAGTCCTCTACCCACATACCACAGGCATAGTGCCTGTTAACCCCAGATTTTGGCTCGTGCTCCTCCTTTCAACACGGTGAAAGATCCGCACTGCTCCCCGCATCAATGCACGTCGAAGAAGCAGTCGGTGCAAGTTATGGATGCATGGTCAAGAAAAAAAATGGGGGAGCATGTGGTTCCGTCTTGCATGGCTAGGACGGCTAACGGGATGCGACACGGGGAAAAGTCCGCTCTACAATAAAAGCCTTAGACTATAGGGTTAGAGTTATGCTTAGTGGTGGTTCGTCTTAGGGTTATGGGGCCCCTGGGTGGAGATCCTCGGGTCGCTTACTGGTGGCAACGCCCAGGATCCAATCTATTTGTTGGTAAGTTTATTTCAGATCGGAGCGCCCAGCAAGAGTCCAGTAGGCCTAGGTCTTCTGAATACTGGAATGGGGTGATGTGATGTCTTAACACCGTGTTTCTTCCCCGAAGTCCTCATCGTATACTGATTCAGTTCCGTCGTGCTGCCGAGGTAAACCCTTACAAAAATCGCGCAAGTTTGAAGATACTCAAATCACGAACTCTGGGTTCGGAAAGATACAGTTCTTTCGGGAGCCAATCCGTGACTTTGCCCGCTGGTCGGCCGGCTCGAGCCTCCAGGTGGACATTCTCACGCCCTAAAACCATGAGTCCAACAGCTGTCCCCGAAAGCCACGCTAGCACCATTCCATCGCCATTAAAGCCGGCTGTGATCCATTCATTTGCCGGAGCACTTCCGGATTCGGAGGTCATTCCTTTGCGTTTATTGGAGGGCCTTCGCCGCTTCGTGAAGGTCGGACTGACTTCCCCGACAAAGGGAACGAGATCGGGCGTAAAGCCCATACATCCTGACCATAGTTGTAGTACGCGGGTATGTTCACCCTGGAGAATGGTGGACCAAATTCCACTCAAGTAAGCACTGATCGTAGGGTCGACACAGTCATCCTTCCAAATCCCAAGCTCATCCATTCCTTTACCATCCGATTTACATAAACCACCACCGAGCATGATCTCCCCACCAGGGCTGTGAGGGCCTGCAGATTCTCGGGGCCGCTGTGTGATATACTCATACCCTTTCTTGCCAATAATACTCCAGGAGCGAGAGCCATCTAGATGAGACGAGGGACCGTCGGCTGCTTGGGCAGACATGTGGCCACGAACAGGGAATATTTTACCTTTCAGTCCAGGAATCAAGTTCGGCGCATATGCATCAGTAGCATGGATAACGTGTGTGGCGCGTATCTTACCACGGGACGTGTACAAAAGGTAAGGTGCAGTGTCGTTATCATCCACGTGTATTTCCCTGACGGTGGCTCCTGTTTCAATGGAGAAGCACGATTGGTATTTAGACGTTAGTTTCATGTAAAGCGAAGTAACAAGTCGATAAGGCCACATGGCGCCGGCACGGTACGAAATCGCTCCGTGGCAATGACTGCTTGCGCCAAACTTCTGAACACGAGTCAGCTGGAGAGAATTTCGCTAGTCACAGCTCACATACCTCCTGTGCTTGTTTAGCGTCCCAAACCATAGTATCCTCGGCGTATTCCGGGGCATCACGTCGCAGTTCTCGAACCATTTCCTGCGCTTTATCCCACATTGTCTGTTCGGTGAACAGATCCACAGTTTCCACTTCCCTAGCTTCTGCTTCATCGAGACCTTCGTCTTTGACCAGCTCTAATATTGTAGGAAGGTGCCTAAGTTGGAAATGAAGCACTCTCTTTGCTTTTTCTTTGCCCAGCAGTACCTTCAGATCCGAATACGTCAAATAGGGAGAACACTTCAGGTGACCGCCGTTCCTTCCTGTTGCACCGCTGCACACTTGGCGTGCCTCCAGAATCACAACCCTTTTCTCTATACGCAACGCTTGGCATTCCGTAAGAATCGTGTAGGCTACACTTGCCCCTGAGATACCTGAGCCAATAATCACAACATCCGCCGATTGGGGAAGCTGCTCCGATTTTGCGTTAACTAGACCTGGATGTTTCGGGTTAGTCTGCCAGAAAGAAATAGTCGGATCTAGGGCTGGAAATTCAGGGGTGGCGATGCGTCGTAGAAGGGCATTGCTCTCCGCGGCATTCTGCGAGAGCTCTGACCAGAACGCAGCTAAGGCGTGGTAAGTTTCACTGATCTTGGACAATATGGGCCCCATTGTTGGAATGAAAACTGATTGTTACAAAAAGAATAGTTTGGTCCTATTTAATTAATATAGCTCTCTGGAGGTGTCGAAGACTGCTGGATTATAGCACCCGTTGTTGACCAGACTCCAAACTGGAGCGAGAGGGCAGGGTCTATGTCGTCATACGTCGCCCTCGATAACACAGAAATAGGAAATATGTGACTTGGAGATGAGTTGAGTGTGGATGCTTTAATGACAACTTGTATACTGTCCCTCGTAGGCAGTGAGTAGTTGGGAAATTAGATGTTTGGCTCTCAAATGGAACTCCCCACCAAGCTAACCAGATATGGTTAGCCAGTATCCATCCCATGGATATAATCTTTAATAACTTTAAATCTCTTGATTGAATTACTGATTATTCCTCCGAAAGCTACCATCTTTAAAGAAAGAGATCTAACATTCAATCCGTGACGCATTCATATCGGTTCAGCATAAACACAGGGGTATAAGGAAAAAAATCCAGACAACACCAATCCAGGTATACAGGCTTCAATCGTCTTCTCGTCGATAAGGATGTTCGTGATACTACCCGCTTCTAAGAAACGTCGAATACTCCTTAGATAGTGGGAATAAAATGTTTCGAGGATTCTTCTTGCTCGCTAAATGACTCCCGGAATGCCGCAATACCAGCAATGATGCCGATAGCCATAAAACAGAGGGAGATAATGGACCAGATAACACCCCAGCAGCGGGAAGAGCCGCCATAGCGCTGGGCAAACACGCTGGCATCGGAAGTGTTGACCTTTCGAATAATGAGGTCGTCACACTATTCAAGGTGTGGTTAGCAAGAACCAGAAGTATAGATGTGGGGAGGCTCACAATATCCCAGACGCTATAAAGAGCAGACATGACACCGATGAAAAGCTGCAACCGCATTAGTGACTCGTCTATTGATAAAGCATGCAGTGCAGGCTAGTACTTACCACCACCCACTTCAGCGCCTCCCCATGTGCAATGAACCAACACGCCACCAGCAGCCCAACCGCCAACAGAATGGTGACGATGGTCAGCCAGTCTCTTCGGGCCCACCACAGTGTAAGCAGGAAACAGACACCCAGGACAATGCTGGCAACCTTGCTAGCAACAATATCGAACCCCGCGAAAATCAGGAGGGCACCGATGATGGATGATCCTAAATATCCGGCGGGGAGGGTGACGGCGCTAATTCCGCCCCGCATATGGGTGACTCCTCCTTCGTGGGGATCAAGGGAGATGGATTCAACTTTTCCTCCGGTGCAACACGCGGTGATCGCATGACCAAACTCATGGAAAGCAATGACCAGCATCTATCAACCGTCAGCCTCCCGGTAACATAAATATTGGCAGACTAAAACAGTCTTTCTCACCTTGAAAGGCCACAGCGACCATCGGATATAGGGCAGGTTCCATAAAAGAGCGATAACTACCACATACACGGCCATCACCCCTAGCGTCACCGCTTGTGTGTGAGTGACGGTCAGGTCACGCTTAGCGAGATGAGAGCTCGCAGCATCGAGAGCTCTTGTATTGAGTATCGCATAGTGTGGTGCCATTGTGACTTTACCTCTTTACAACGTGGAACAACAGAGAGGAGGTCTTTATGCGGTTTATTGTATCTTGAAGTCGAATATTTATGAGTGTTGCCTTACGCGTCTAACCAGTAGATACTTACCGAACGGGGTTAGCGTGTGGCTGGTCAGGGGGTATTTTTAGCATGTTTGTACGTGGCTGACCGATGTAAGGCTGGCCAATCACTGCCTCAGGTGTGGATGTCAGAAATGACTCTATCACACTTTGGACTGATCAGTCTGCCCTCTTAGTGGGATTGGGAGGATCAGTCGATAGCGTACGTGGTTTATTTGGTTCCCTAAGACATAGTTCTCTATTTAGCATTGACTTTTTTAGACTCTATTCTAATGCTCTGCCACAATTCAGAGCTTACCCACTACTGCATCAGCACCTAATTCACACCGCACAATACGGCAAGTGGATCATTCTTCAGTCTAGCTGCTGGATCCATCATCCACTGTCTGGTCTAGCCCATATGGTTCTGTCATCTCTCAACGGTCAACTAGACCCGTTCGGACGGTCTCTTCAGCGGTGACGTTTTTTTCCCAGCAAAAGAAACAGATCCGGTGGCAGTGCACGACAGCACTGTAGACTAATATAGATATAGGCGTTGCTAACTCGGATGTGTTCGAGATTTAAAGAGTAACATGAAGTACGTCTGGCATACCACACCTTGGCTTCATGCGTGCGACTTATGGATACAAGATACGTCCACAGACAAGCCTTAGGGAATTCACAATGATGCTTCCCATCGGCAGTTCTAACGTTTAAACATCGTGCGGTGAGAAATGGATTCTCATCTCTCGGCTGAATCCTCCGTCCGAGCTTCTGAAAAAAAACGACCTTCTCTGCCGTAATAGAAGCTGTATACAAGTAGTTTCGCGAGTCTGGCAATGATATTTGCGCTGATTGTAACAAAAATCTCGATCGACTGTTCTGGAAACTGACATGGCCCACCAATCCAAAGACTATACGCAATTTCAGAATGAAGTTAAAGACGCGAACCATTCTTGAAACTTCCATGCCTCCCTGCACCACGACTAAATCGGGAAGCCCCTTTGATACTCTCAAGGTCCAAAACTTTCACTCCCTTCTCATACTCATGCCTCAGGGCATCCTGAAACGAGCTAGCCTGGTATGCACTATAGTAGCAAGAGTCCCGGTCCGCATTCATGCAAAGCTGCGGGAACGAAAGCAACTGCTTCGCAATAGCCGTAGCCTCTTCCACAGCTTTCCCCTTCGGTACCACACGATTTGCCAACCCCATAGACAAGGCCTCGGTCGCACTGACTGGACGCCCGGTCAATACCATATCAAGTGCCCTGCCCAATCCAACCACTGCCTGGAGACGAACTGTGCCTCCGTCGATAAGTGGCACGCCCCATCGTCTGCAGAAGACCCCGAACACGGCGTCCTCTTCCACCACGCGGATGTCGCAGAGCAGGCTTAGTTCCAACCCGCCTGCCACTGCATACCCAGCGACAGCGCCGATGATAGGTTTCTGGATCTGGAGTCGTGATGGGCCCATCGGGCCTAGAGATTGCTCGCCAGACGCTGGTGGCGCTTGAAAATGGCTTCGTCCTCCTTTTGTCTCCTTGCCGGTAGCATCGCCACTATCTTGTCCAGCTACTTCGTGAAGGTCGGCACCGGCACAGAATGTACCGCCCATTCCCGTGAGTATGCATACTTTCTGTGAGGGGTCATTCTCGAAGGCCCGCATTTTCTCGTAGAGAAGTTTTGCCGTCGCTGGTCGACGGCGTTCCTTCGATGAGGTCTGTTGATTTTAATAGTCGTAATTCCGTCATTTGTGGCACTCACAAGAACTAAATCTAAATCTGACTGCATGTTGACGTTTGAATCCAACGGGGGATGAACAGGTGCTCTGATGATAAAAGTGCGGAGCTGAAGATTTATATCCCTGCATATAGCCTCGGATCTCCACAGATCCACTCCGATGGACCGAGGAGTAGCCCATTGATGAAAGGCAAGTATACATTCATGATCAAATTCCGTGTAGAGACGACTGACCATATATACCATCTCGTTAGCAACTCAGAATCAAGAAACTATGCAGGTATAATCCTCGGCTGTCAACCCTATTTGTCTATCTTCACATGCACTCCTAGACTGTCTCATGGCCAGTACACATAGACACGAACATGACAGAAGACTTAAGTTCCCCTTGATAAAACGTCTATAACCAGACTCCTGAGCATGAGCTACCGCTAAGAACAGCAATATGATAAGCAAACATACAAGCGTCGAGCTCATACATCGTATAACGCAACCCCGTGAATCATGACTGATTTTTTCAAAGTTAAGAAGGGGTCCAAAGGCATACCAAACTAAGCCCTCAACCCTCAATATCTCTCTTTCCCTCTCTCCTCCCGTCCCCCTTCCACACAAACCACCCAACCGTGATGAGAAACTTCAATCCAAAAGCAAACCACAAACTAGTTGCCATCTCTGTAACCTTTGACAGCCCTCCAGCAGTCATGGCGCCCAGAAACAACGCCAGGAAGGCCCCAGCCCTTCTATTGCGCTTCGGGTTAGCCTTTGCAGTTAACTTTGGATCTACTAGCAGATCGCAGAGCAGCGTGGTCAACACCACGGTCGGGATCTCATCGATACCCAGCACCCGGGACGTTACAATTTGTCCGCCCGCTTGGAAGGACAGCAGTGAGATGGGGAGGACTTGCATCCACTCGATGGGGGCTCGAGGGTCCTCGGGCTTGGGGTTGATGATCCCTAGCTGGACGAGTATGGCTGCCGCCAGGAGAGCGGTGGTTTGGACAGTGAAAGATAGGATTAGGGTTGAGCGGCGGCGGGGACCGAGGGCCCGCGAAGCGTGGATGAAGAGGATATTGCTGGCGATGAAGACCGTGAGGGCGATTAAGGATTTGGCCCAGAGGTAGGCTGGGTAGGCGGGTTGGCCTGAGGCACCTAGGGCTATGAAGACGCTGTTTCCTGCGCGTGGCTGGTTAGCAGTTGTTTGGGCGGAACTCAGAGGGTGAGGTGGAGGCATACCTGTTTGCATACTGGCGAAACTTCCCCAGGCGTTGAATGATAGGCCATCTACGAGACCACTGACAAAGCCACAGATGATCAGAACGATATCGGTGTGTGTAGTGTCTATGTTGGCGCGGAAGTGCCGCGCCAGTGATGAGCGCAGCGTGATCTCATCTTGATTATCTGCGAGGGATGTCGCCGCACTGCATCCCTCACCCCAGATGCCTCCTGTTTCTTTGGAATAATCCTCTTTTCGGGATATTGGTTGATTGGCAAGGGTTGCCGGGACCCAGTTAATGGAGGAATTGTTTTCAGAAGCTGGAACGAGAGGGAGGTCCCCCGATGAAGAGGGAGGAGGGGCGTGATGCATAGTGTTACTGATAGATACTAAATCGTAATGGAGGCTAGCTAATGGGCTAAGAAGTGGGTAGAGTGTTGTTTAGTAAGGGCTTCGTCCAGAGGATGGGCAATGGGAATGCAATGAGCTAGCACCTCCGTCTACTTAAGTTCAGACTGGTGGGATATACCTATGGCTACGAGGATCCTCTCCGCACCCAAGACACAACATCTGTGCCAAGGGGGGGGAATACTGAAGTCATCAGCCCAACGCGGGTCAACCCGATATGTGTCCTCTAGATAACGAAGTAGTATATCCCTGCAGAACTCGTGCTGGAGTTCCACGCCCGGAAACAGCGTTTCAGACTGAATAACTCCACTATCCCGGGATATCCCCATTTTTGTAGCACCTAGACACATTCAGACCAGCCAATATCTGGCAGAGTGAGTCTGAATAAACTTCATGTAAAGTCTCAATTGGGTACCGTGTTGCCATCGCCTCTACCTGAGATTGGATTCGTCTCATAGATCCACCTTGGCAAGCCCTTGGCGCCATCCGAAGGCGTCATGACTGCATGCGGTTCTCGTTGCGGCGTTCCATCGTCGGGCCTGACCAGGGCTTTAAAGGCTAAAAGTCAATCACGACAACAAGAACCCAAATGCTGACTGTCTTATCCGTTCTCTTCCGCCGATCGGTGGGTTCGCCAAGGTCTCTTCCCCAGGCATCTCTATTTACCGGGCGTTAGAAATAGGAGATCACTAACCGGTCAGAAAGAGTGGCATTCTTGGCGGATGACAATGAAGCGGGAGCAAAATTGACCCGTCTCCCCAGATGAAATGTGCCCGGGTTTTCTTTTTGTCCATCTGGGGGTCGGTGGGCTGTGTTTCGTGAAGTGGAGTTTTGGATATGACAACGAACCTTGGGATGGATGGATCAAGGACTACCATCGTCAACCAGGATTCTCATCCAGAATATGAAACGTGGTTGGCTGAGCACAACCAAATCGACGGTCACCCTGCGTTAAACATGTGGCAAGCATATGGGAATATCCTAGCGGTCACAGTCCTGGTCAAGAATAAAATTCGTATCATTCCCACCGCAAGAAATAAACACATACAATCGCCACGTCTGGGCCCTGGGTGAAGAAACCAGGAAGTGCCAAGAAGATCGGCAAACAAGCGAAGCCGAGTGGTCGCTAGTGCTATCTAGTTCCTTATCAGCTTCTCTTAAATTTACTTGGCCTAGGGATGATCGCCAGGAAACGACGGTTCGTTGTTTGGCTATACCCGCTCTACCCAGAGTTATGGCTATGTGAGAGCACAGCCCCCCACGCCGCGTCTCATACTTCCCCTCGTTCATTTCTTTTGCTTTGTAGCCTGGTGTCAACCAAGCCACGCTGGGGAGGATTGGAATTATTGGTCTTGGCAGCTTCTCGGCCAGTGTCAATCACCCTTTTTTGTTGTCTACAGCGTTAAGCCCCGTTTTTCTTCTTCTTGCCGGAATGATCCGGACTGAGAAGCATGAGACAGGGCGTCTAGAACATTTCTGAAGGTATATACCATACTATTCTCTCTTTGTTTACTATCAAGGCCTAAGGTATCGGTCTATGAGAGTACAGCATCGTGACTCACTTGTACAAGAAAAGGACGAGCAATACCACTGCCCAAGACACTATCCCCACGACCCCCTCCCACATCAGGGATCACGGATAGCGTATGCTTATCGCTCCTATGAACTACTTCCCTAGCTCAGACAAGTGTGACGCTTACTATTTCTCGGCGCTTCCTTCTGTATCTTGCTGATAAATCCAGCCATCGGCCAACTTGGCGAGGCTCCTCAGTAAATGGCCGTCACATGCAGGATGAGACAAGGTCATTTCATCCAAGCCACCTATGATGGCTCGCCCAGAAATGACCGTGTATGTATGCGCTTTCTTCTTGGCCTTGGAACAAGATGACTTCTTTTGTTCTGATTGAGGTGGCGTATTCATCCTTGTCACACTCGCAGAGTTCCTAATGATAGATCCAAGTCAATGTACACTTGCAGCACTGCCATCTCTAGGTGAACTAGCAGCCACGCAATACGATAATGTGCTACATAGAAACTCCTGGGGCAATCATTGTCTAAAAAAGGGTTGTGCTATCGGAGCATTGTACGAATAGCTGTGACAGCTCTTCCGTAAGTTTCTTTTTGCCCTTGCTGCTGAGCTTTGGAATCGTTAATTATTTCTTCACGTGCAAGAGTCCAAGGTTCAATGAAGACACAGATACTCGAGACGGTAGACTGCTCGGCTCACAAGCCCTTTTTGGAGTTGACCATCGCCTGCATGCGAGGGGTGAGAAATGCTGCATGCCCGGCTCTGCGAACGCCCCAAAAGGGGGTGTAGGGCACCAAATCAGGCCGAAATACTCATGATAGATCACTCAACGATGTGAATGCTCTCTGTCGGATATTTATGCATCCTTATAAGACTCAGCTATGTCCGAGTTCGTCAAGACGCGGTTGTATCTATCGTTTCAACAAAAAAAGTCGGTAGATCACAATCGTACACAAAGACTATTTTGGGTAAAGATAATATGAGCCGTAGGTTTTCAGATTTCTTCAACTTGTCAATCTCATAGATCCAATACATGGGTTTCATTGTTGACTCGCATTGGTCAAGTCAAGACACACTGTATATACATTATTCATACATCCATAGGTCTATACATATTCGATCTCTCGATCGATTACCTGTCGCGGAGGAGATATACGGAACCGCAGCAGCCTTGCGGTCGCAAAGCGATAGGCACTATAAAATCCGGAGTATGAATGACTAGATTGAGAGCGAACAGCTCCTATGTTCATGCTTCTTTTCCAGATTTATATATGCAAGAATTGTAACTTAGGGCTAGGAAATTGCCTGATTCGGAGGTGATTTGTAACTGCCGGGCGGCAAGAACAAGAAAATAAATCGGTCCGGCTTCGACTCCGCCTCCCGATTCTCAGTCTGCAATCCGCGCGGATGTTGCATATCCATCTACTCCTAACGCCTTGCGAACGCATCTTCTTCCATTAATTAGTGAAATACAATTGGCGTATAGTTACTGTATCCATTCGGCGTACTCATTAGTCATGACAGATCCCAACGACCATCTTGCGGTGGTCGTGCAGCAGAGTCCAATGACTGCTGACAACCAAATCCCCAAGAACCCTTCTTGTGTGGTCTGTGCGCGAAGAAAGGTCCGGTGTGATCGCAATGATCCTTGTTCTGCCTGTATCAAACGCGGTGTTGAATGTGTTTTCCCTACTCATATCCCTCCGCGTCGCCGTAAAAGGCAGCGCTCAGAGGACCGCCGACACAGCGGCTTCCCCTACCAGAGTCCTATTAGACAAGACAACGCTGCATCGGCTCGTATCAGCAACTTAGACCATCCAGCAACCACGCACAATGCTTTCCCCAGTGGCTCCAGGGCTGAGCAAGGGATGCTGTTTACCGGCGACGGGAAATCAATCTATCTGGACAGGTGGAGCTACCTTGGAATGAACAGCGATGCATGAATGGCTAACGGGTAAGATAGTAATGTGTGGACTAGCGTCCGAGGCGAGGTCAGGATTCCCTCCCTAACTTCTTCTCGTATTGCGATCTAACTCTGGATCTAGCTTCCTCGAGCGGAGGATGTGTTACGGGACATATCCGACAACGATTCAAACCGTTCTGTCCAGGGAGTGGATGACGAGATATCCTTAATCTTGGGAGAAACAGTAAAGAAGAGCCTGAGTGCACTTCATCCCTCTCCGTTACACATCTTCAAACTTTGGCAAACTTTCCTTGAGAATATCAATCCATTGATTAAGATACTACACGGCCCAACCGTCCAGCAACAGCTTCTAGAAGCTAGCGGTAGCTTAAACACAGTCTCAAAGGAGCTTGAGGCATTAATGTTCTCCATATATTGTATCGCATTGGTTTCTCTGAAGGCAGATGATGTACAAAAAACTTATGGAGAGAGCAAAGCTTTGTTGCTCTCAAGATTCCGGCGTGGAGCTCGTTTAGCTTTTACCAAGGCTGGCATTTTACGTACGTCAAAAACCGTAGTTCTCCAGGCATTTGTTTTATACTTGGTAGGTCTCGCCCTGATACGCCGTGATCTTCACGCTAACGTCATTGGACAAGCTTTCCATGCGTGCATCCTCTGATGCGCAGTCTATTTGGTCCTTGTGTGGCGTTGCGGTGCGAATGGCTCAGCGGATGGGGCTCCATCGAGACGGATCTGAGCTTGGATTATCCATTTTTGAAACTGAAATGCGCCGCCGTCTTTGGCGACAGCTATCAATATTAGATGTCACTACGGCACAAAGTTCAGGCATCGCTTCGCAGTTCCCGTATTTTTCTGTTGACGTCCTCCCCCCATCAAACATAAATGATAGCGAGCTTGATCCACGCATGGCGGATATGCCTCGCGAAAATCATGGCGCGACAGAAATGATGTTCGTCCTTGCACGGACCGAATTTGGCGAATGGATGAAGCGCTGGTCCAAGGCCGGTGGAGACTCTCACGGAGGTCGAGGTTTCTTGGCCTCTCCTGCGTTGTCTTATGAAGCGAAGGATCAAGCAATCGAGGAGCTGAACCGCGCATTCGAAACGAAATTTCTGTTATACTGCGACAAATCCATTCCACTGCACTACATGTCGGCTAGACTCATGCAGAATGTTGTATGCCAAATGAGATTCTCCGCACACCATCCCCGCCAATATGGCGAGAAAGACCATATATCACTAGCGGAAAGGGATTTCGTCTTTTCCACATGCGTGCAAATCATGGAAGGATTCGAGGATTGTCAGAGCAACGAGATCATACAGCGATATTTGTGGCACGTGGACAATCACATCCCGTGGGACGTGTTGATTTATACACTACATGAGCTCCGGACCCGCATAGATGAAGAAGAAACTAAGAGATTGTGGGTCCTCATTGACCGGATCTACAGTCGGCATTATGACCAGATGAGAAACAGGCCCAAAACCCCTCTTCATATTGCAATACAGGGGC